CCGGTTGATTGCGTCGAGCGGGAATGACGTTTGTCACGAAGATCCATCGATCTTGTTGGCTTCTGTACGATAGATGGACGGACGTAGAAGTTTGCATATTATTCATTTTCTTTATTACATCGTGTGGAATATACAGATAATCAAATAAAAATTTAGAAGCTCGTTATTTAACATGAGATTAATATTCGTTAAAAAATATATAATATTTCAATAACTGAATTAAAGAAAAGTTTAAGTAACCGACGGGACTAAAAGATACTTTAGTGGCAAGTGGTATATAAATAACTATGATAAATAACTATGATAAATGACTGTGATAATCACTTTCACCGTATTATTTTCAAATCACGGACAAACAGGCAAAATACTTACAGTAGCAACTCGATGGCGGAAGTGGTTTATGATTCAATGTTTGCGTTTTAAACAGGTTTTGCACAAGCTCAGTGCGTGCAAACGACAATGCAACAAATTATATTTCCACTTATAAATATGGAAACGGATATCCAAGAAGATCTGAAAAACAGGGAAATACGTTTTCTATGAGAATTCAGTTAACGTACATAAAATATCATTGTTTCGTTGAGGCGCATAATCATAATCGTCTAATTATTAAATTTTATCTTACTGCAAAAATAACTACAGCAATTTTTCTTGTTACATAATTAAAAAGTTTTAGTGGCCACATGTAGAATCTATCTCACATTATTACACGCCTGGCGTAATCATATTCTGAGAGATAAAATGTTATCAGTTGGAAAATCGAAAACCCTGCACAGAACTTTCTATTTATATGGCGAAATCGAAACCACGCCTACGTGCCTCGACTACTAAGGCAATCTACGTCCGTGGCGTGGCATGGCGGTGTGAACGGCGCTTAAACGAACGAATATGCGTCTACATGCGAAATGCAACGGCGTAAATGTCAGGGTCATCACGTATCGCAGCATCGGGTAAATACCGATTAAATGCCAATGGCATCGATAAATCTGTACTCGTAAAAACAAATTTTTTCTCAAATCGGATAGCAAAAGAAGATGTAAAGATTGGACTGAATTGTTGTTACTTTACAATATCGCGTTACGTTGCATTCAGTTTTAAAGAACGCATTTTATATCGATATTCCAACTTTTTTTCTATTATTTCAAGTCCTTTTCCATCTTTTTTTTATCTTCTCTATTTTTTCAGTTTAAAAAAAATAAAAGTAAATATCCGTTGAATTTTTAAATTAAAGTTTAAAATAGTCATACAATTAGAGCGAAGCAGGAACGCGCGCACGAGGAAAAACATTTCAATATTAATCGCGCGTCCTCTCGCCGTCTCGAATACGATTGCCTCCGCTCGAATGCCACGCGTTCTCACGGCGCAGGTGAGGCCTGCGGTGATGACCGAGACGCGAGACACCGATGATAGTGCGGAAAATTGAACGAGAAACAAACCACGCGCGTCCATTAATTTTCTTACCGGAAAACGCACCGTGAAAACGATGATAGATTTTGCCTGGCGGCACGCGAATGGCCGAAAGCTGCTAAAGCCGGACGTTCCGCAGTATGTTTTAAATAGCGCGATTATTCAAAGTACGGTTTAACTAACGGAGTATTCATTATCTATGAGACGGAGAATGTAATTTACCTCGTTTAGACCCGCGTCGCTCTAATCAAGATTTAATCGCTCGCCTCTAAAAGAAACAGTGTAGATCGAGGCGAATGTTGTTCGCTCCGATCGCTCTCGTCTTAAAAGCCGTAAGCGAGAGAAGCCGTCTTCCTCTTAGAAAGCGCGTCCGTAATTAAAACCGTAGACAGCCGGGAATTAAGGTATACTCGTCCTAAAGCGGAATCCACAGAGGCTGCGAGCATCATTCATATTAATATTTTTTTTTTTCAATGCCTTAAGTACAAATTAAAGCAATCTCATTCTTCCTTCTTAAGTGTATCTGCGGTGCAACAAAATGTTCGTTAAATTGATTAATTCTTACGTCATATTCTATATTGTAATGCCAATTATTTCCCACAGTGTAAAATTGTGCGAAGTTATTATTGAACTGACATTTATTTTCTTCACAGATCACAAAAACTTACGTTTTAGACTCGACACACGAGGTTGTTGCCCGCTAGCTCCTTCTCTCGATGTGGACTCGGCATAAAAGATCGAAATAGGAGGAAGAGACGGAGGACGGGTCGTTCGTTCCGCGACTAAACGTAGTCCTGTATTGGTGGCGCCGCGCCGAAGAGACGCCCTCGGGCGTTATATCTTTTTACGTCACGGCTGGAGAATTTCCTATCCGGCGGCCGATTGCTTGCCATCGCCGATATCGAACCGTTAAGGGCCACGAGCGCGATACGCGCAGGAATCCGGACGAATCGGCTCGAAATTGCTCGCCCGCGCTTGTTATTGCGCTCCACTCGACTCTTCCTGGCTGCAGCTGTGTGCTAAAAATAAATGTATTTAACGAACAATTAATTAATTACATCATTATTATATAATTTCGCAGGATGAATTTTGTGCATTCCGTTGCAATTCGCTATCCATATTCAGAGAATGCGATAAAATATCCTGAATGTCCAATCGGCCGGAGATGTTTGTGCGTTGCGTTGCGCGAACGTCGTGTATCTCGTCGAGTCCATCACGCGTAGTTACATAAAGGCCTAGGCATAAACGTCTGGACGTACAATTATAAATTTTATGCATTCCATTAGGCGGGATTACACTTATAGCGTCGCGCTTGTCAGCGGCGCGCATAGTTGCCAAGCATCGTGCCGCATCTCGCGGTTTCCTGCTTGAATTCGTTGCGAATGCAAAACGCAACGTGAGATATACCTCAGAGCGAATGATAAAAAACTGACTGATGCATTATGGATGCTGCACGCTGCTAGATTGGCTACGAAAAACCAGCCGTTCCTGTGTGATACGTGCATGTTAAATAGCGAAATAAATCTTTTTAAAGGACGATTCTCCAACCGACGACAGCCGATGTAAGAAGACGGGAACTCGCCACCGCCATCTATAAAATTAATATTTCTTTTCCTCGGCTTTTAATTGACCAAAATGGTGTTGATTATCTTCAAGTGAATTGCCGAATTAAATTAACATAATTTCTAAATTAAAGGCAAATAACTTTTATGCACAACAGGATGGAACAAGGCATCTACGGCGCGCATATTCATAGCGTTCTTTCAGACGGCGAGAAGTCCGAAGACTCGGTCCGCAGTTTCTCAGGTAGAACCGCGCGAGGAACGCTGAACTTTGCTCTTTACGAACGTAGTTGCTGGCGAGACGTTATTACGATCATTATTACTGTCATTTTTCCCCCCCCTGACAACGCGTATTCGAATTCCGGCGAGGGGCCTCGTGCACGTACCTTCACGTCGCACGCTCGCAAACCACTGTGCAAAGCAGAAAGCGATTCGATACGTTTCGCGCGGATGACACCGGTTATCAACCTCAATTAGATAAATGAAATCGCGCGCGAGGAATGCGTGAACGGGCCGCATCGGAGGAGAGACGAGCGGTTTTCCGCTCGAGCGGAGACGCTTTTGCATTTCGTTGCGAAACGAGCTGGCCAGCCGAGTCTTCCAACAGGTCCCGGGATCCGACTTGCCGGACTAGTTAATAAATTACAGCAGCGCGCCATCTCCGTCTCGCGCCAGCTCGCGCCGGCAATTGCAAAATACGCCCGGTTGTGATCGAAAGTAAAAAATAGAGATAAGTATCGCGTCGCGGACGAACTGCGGAGGAAGTCGCCGGTTGGTTTTGTCCGTTAATGGAGTCGTTGCGCATCGTCACAGCCGAGGCATCGTGTCCGAGCTGTAATGGTCGGCGATAAAATCCATCGGCGTATTTCTAGCATGTCCGATGTTAATTAACCGTCAGGCGGACAAAATCATCCGTCGATCCCCGGGAGATCATCCGCCCACGTGAAAAAGAGAAAGAGAGAGAGACGAGATTACAAGTTCGAGCGGCCTTCGACAAATGTGCCTCGAACTAGCAGTCGATCGCTGTAGGAATCAAGATTTTTAATCAATAAATTCCACCCCGTTGACAGATCGCTAATTGCACATATTTATCTACCTTTAAAAAAAAAAAGACACATTACGAGAAATAGATAAAAGTATAATAAAATGTGTTAACGCTTACACTGACATTGGTCTCCTCGGTTCGCGGACAAAAAAGGCGACGAACGGAATTCAAGCCGGCGCCGAAAACACGTGCCAGACTTCTGTACTTCCACCTGGGAGAAGGTCACGCTTATTTGCGCGGGTTTCAATTCCGTGGGACTGCCTTAACCATAAATGAGATACCGGGCGGTGGCTTTTTACACATTACTGGATCCCCGCTGCTGAAATACATAAACAATATTAGCGATGCAATGGTGTTTCGAAAAGATTTTCCCGACATCATTTCATATCATTTGTTTCGAACGATATCGTGTATTTTTCTCAAAAGCCATTCACCGCAGCTGTATTCGTAAAGCGGCACTTGAAACAAACTTCGCGTGTGTCCTGTAATATGCGGGATTCACACTTTAGATGCACATTTAAAGCGTAACCGCATGAATTACGGTCGCCAGCGAACATCATTATGCATTACGGTCTCCATAATTCACAAGTTGCGCGTTTTAAATGTTGCGCGCT